CTGTACGCAGCTCTTACGCCCCTATTCGTGTTTTTCTTTTGCATTTTTCTACCTTTAATCCTCTTGCGTGTCGTTTTCCTCTTATGCTTTCTGGATACAGATCGGATGTACAATTTTCCCCGTTTGTCTTCAATCTTCGTTTTTTTTTCGCCCACCTTTTTCCTCGTTTGTTCTGTGCCTCAATATTTGTTCAGATTAACTCCTCTTCCGTGTGTGTATGCGTATTTGTATGTGTGTGTGTGTGTGTGTGTGTGTTTGTATGTTCTGTTTGGTGTTAATTCTTCGTCAATGACAATCATATTCACAAGTTCGAAGTGTTTTCTCGCCGATGTAAAGATTCCTCTCGTTCATTTCTACTTAAATCGCGATTCTTCCGATTGATAGTGTTGGTGGTGGTGGTGGTGGTACGCATCCTCTTCCGTCCAGAGCTCGTTCATCGTGATAAGTTCTCCCAAGGCATTTACATCGCTCACTATACCGTCAGTCGACCGTGCTGCGCTCTGCCCTCTCGTCCATCCTGATGACAAAGAAAATCGAGTTTCCGTTAGCTGATGAAACAATACGGGGTAAACGACGTGTGCTACACGATTCATCGAAATGAAGCCATGATCTTGGGAATGAGCGCAAGCAGGTCGTGTCATTGGCTGGAGTGCGCTTGGTTGCTAGTTACGAATGAAAGGGGCGAAATCCCCTCGTGATACAATATACGGTCTATTTGTCTTTACAATTTTATGATTGCAACAGAGAAATAGAGAACCACAGCGGTGTTCGGATTATGGTAATCGGAACTGCGGTAACGCATTAATTCGAAGTGTGTGTGTGTAGTTCAGTCAGAATGTTTGATGTGTTGATCGAGATGACTAAGCGAAGGAAATGATGAAAATGATTTCTTCAACCACCAAACCGAATCGTTCTGTACTTGTATCACGAAAGTATTTCTCTTCCAGCACTATATTTAAGGAAACAGTGGTTATTCCATGTAAGTTACAATTATCTGACAAAATAATGGGGCTTTGAATAGGGTGTATAGATTGTTAGATTGCATTTACTATAGAAGGACGAAGGATTCTCATTACTGTACTCGTAAGAATTATGCTCTAAATTTGGGAAATAACAGAAGAAATATTATAATCTTTGGATCAACAGGTAAAGGTAACCTCTGATAAGCAAAGTGGTAAGGTGTTTATATTTGTGAACTATCTACGAATTGTTTTTACAATACACGTGATGATAGGTTAAATTCCATACGGGTTCTACAACGAGCAATTGATTATTCGTCGAACAGAGAAGGTCTCTGGTATTAAGTATCACGGAACATGAAATATTCGACGTAAATGAGAAAAAGATTCGATACAAAGGGAAGGGGAAATCGGAAACATAACTTACGTACCTGTTATTAGGTCTTAACAAGGCTCAATGGTAGCCATTAGTGAACGCCGCTGGTATTAGAGGACCCTAAAACAAGTAGACAAATGCTTCATTAAGGTTCTCCTGTAATTGTACAATGAATAATTCTCTACGGTTATTCAGAAGATTCCAATAACGTTCGTACTACGTGCAATTGCGATACTTGATCCTGAAAGTTTGCATCGTTGAATGTTAAAATCTTCGTCGAATCAATAAAAGGAGATATGTACAAAAAAGGGGAAGAAACATGAAAAGAAAGTTGTAATTTTGGCGAACTGAGAAAGCTCAGCGTTCAGAGCTGTTTTGCGATCTAAGCTGCAGCAACATAAGTGACAAACTCTAATGAAAACAATTTGCGTAATATTCACGGACCCTAGAGCTTATTTTTATCGTATCCTTTCGACTTATTTTTTATCGTATATTCACTCGGTGCTTATTTTTATCCTACTTTTACTTCGACGGGAAAATCGTCACACGCAATTTCAATAATTCGATGATGTTAGTACTGAGTAGCTGTTGGACACTCGGATACTTGGAAAAGTAGTTTGATTAATCGGACTCCCTCGACGGGAGCGGAACGTTTAATTAAAATTATTCGCTCAGGTCTGACGTGGAAATAAGAGCAAATCGTTAAATGAATATCAATTGAGGGAGCCTTTCAGCGAGTGGTGTACAACATCGTTTTCATTCCTCCTTTTTTCCATATTTCGAAATAACAGGATTCTTCTTCAGGATACAGTGTTATCGAGCGCAGGGTATAATAATTGGGTAAAGATATCAAAGCCAATGATACGATTTAATTGCACAAAAAGTATGCGCAGTTCCAATATTACAATTCAATGTAATTAGAGAGCGCGCAGACTTTACCAATATAATATCTTTTTCGTTCTTTCATCTCCTGATGGAGGAAATATTGGTTGAAGGTCGTATTTATCAAATTATTTATCTCATTGCAGAATTGTCTATTTAATATAAAAATTAATGTGACTGTTATTTTTGTCATATTTGTAGAACAATACTCTCCATACTGGAAACAAAATCAGTTGCCTTGTGGAAATCCATTCCCCGCCTATAAATACGAATTTAGAACGAATTTTTTAGAATGAATATATCTATACATTTGGTACCACAATTTTACCTGGAGATATTGTTACCAGATTTATCCTTGCTGTCTACTTTTTGTCTTCTTCTCATTATTCTTCTATCTCGCTGGTTCTGAGTGACTCTGAGGGTGATTTTATCGATGATTTAAATATTATGATAATACATAGTCTGTGTTAGATATACAAGATATCCCAAAATAGCTTCGACTCCCGGAAATGAGTAGTTCCTGGGATGATTTAAAACAACTTTTTCCTTAGCGAAAAAGTTCTCCGAGGCTTTGTTAACAAGACATTAATGAAAACCCCCGACCAATGAGAGCGCGAGTCTGCTGGTGAGCTTCTGCGGTACATCGACTACACGTTTCCGCTGGAACTCAGCCGGCAGACTCGCGCTCTTATTGGTCGGGGTTTTCCGTTAATATCTCGTTAACAAAGCTTAGGAGAACTTTTCCGCTAAGGAAAAAGTTGTTTCAAATCACCCCTTTCAAGGACTTCCACCTATTTTGGGACAGCCTGCATAATTATTAAAATATCCTATGGTGAAAATCAAGGACAACACAAAGAAAATGATAAAACCTGATCTTTTCTCGGATGCTTGAATTTATCAGTTAAGATAATTAGATTAAGAAGGCTAGTGTCCTGAGTCACATTAGGGGAACGGGGACCCATAGCGGCCAACCGATTTTGCTCCAATTTGTATTGCGCTCGATACTACGAGGTCGACGGGCAACCTCTTTGTGTGAAGGGGGATTCGTATAGTGGACTTACGGGACTGTAGTTGAGCGGGGCACGGGACACGGCGATCGCAGGGAACGCGGTCGTAGGGGGCTGCGGACTAGCTGCGGCCTGGACGTAGCTGGCGACTGCTGAGTCAGCGGCTGCGGCTGCTGCTGCGGCTGCGGCGCTTGAGCTATACATGTCGATGGGGCCCGGTGAGTTGGCCGCAGGGAATGACCGACCTTGTGGCCCGCCGTGGCCGCCGGCCGCGTGCGGCGACGCCGGCGGGAATCCGGCCTGCGCTGCGGCCGCCTGGTAGTTGTTCATCACTGCAACGAACGCGCCTTAATTTTTAACACTCCTCGTATATGTACAGGACTGACTCGACCGACCGACTTTAGCCGTGCCGACGTTCACGTATCTGTCTTTCTTTCCCGCGTGTAAATATTCTTGTGTGAACCGAGGGCCCGAAAGATTGGAGGTTGTTTTTTATTCGGATTCTTCGGGGCTGTCGTGACATTGTGTTTTCTGCGGGTGGTCGAACGAAGTATTGTGTGAATCAAGGACGAAATGTTGCGTGAATCAAGGTCGAAATATTGTGTAAATCAAGGTCGAAATATTGTGTGAATCAGTGGTGAAACGTACTGGGTCGTTCTCACGATTCTGAAGTTTGCGTGGAAGACAATCTGATAGGATTCGAGGTTCGAATGGGTAGTCATTGGTGGACTATTATTCCCTTTTAACGTTTCAAAGTGTTTGAAATACATGCCAGAAGAAGTAGTGTATTTACGTGTATTTTATTATGGTAGATATTTTTGTCTGTATAATGGCGTTAATTCGTTATGTTGAGAGAACCTTGGCTATTTTAAATAATCCACCGAGGTAGCCGTGTTTCAAGATACACCCGAAAAAACCTACGATTGTCTTCAGTGTCTTATTTCTTCAATTTTCCTACAGTTTACACACAGGTCGACTTCATAAACAACATGCCAGAAACGTAAACTTGGCGATGGGATTATGTACAATCATTCGCAGCGACAACTGTATCGGGTTCTGTGTTTCGTCGGTTCTACGCATCCTAAAGACATCAATTACCTAACACGCTTCTATATTGTCACATGTAGTTGTACTAATACAGGTTATGAATAAAAATGTGGGACACTTTCACAGGGTGGATTCTACGTACTGAACTAAGACAAAACTCAAGAAAGACGAAAATGTGTTCTAAGCACAACAAAATAATTGTTAAAAATATGGGAAAATACCTGTATCCTCGATACGCAACAAGTAGATACGCACCTTAAAATACGTTTAACGCGATGGTTTATAATACTCGAACAGCCGATTCCCAAATGATACACGGCTTGATCGATGACCTAATTAAATTGAATGAATGATATAAAATAAAATGAATGAAACCAACTGGTGAAACAGTTGAACAATGTGTCTCTCAAGTAGAATATCCCGTCGCGTCAGACGTATTTCACGTGAAACAAAGTTTCGAACTCAATGTCGTCATTCTTGATTTTCGTCTTAGTTTGACATGTAGAATTCCTGGGCAACTGTCCCCCACATTTTAATAAACACCCTGTATATCGAAACAATGTATTAAAACTAGTGTACTCTTTAATACCACAGATCACGCTTTACAATGCCAGCAACAAACTCACGCAATCAACATCACGATAACTGAACATCTGTGCATATGTGTATATCCCTCAGTTAACGTGTAGCATGTAGACAGTATGTAATTGGTTTTCGATCGAGAGGAAATTCTATTTAACGATCATCTGTTTCCTTTTATTCACGAGACATCACACACCAAACGAACGAACGACGAGTTACAACGATAAACATCGTGACACTGTGTACAGAAAAATACAATACAACGAAAGAACGGTACCGGTAAAGCCTCTCCGGTCCGGAGACAAACTATCGGAACGCACACACGTAAACATGAAAGAAGCAAATAAAAAGGGGGGAGAATACTCAATAAGCGGATTACAAGACAGCTTTTGCGCGTAATGGAACAACAGTGAAACCGACAGCACAGATACGGATATTGCACACGTCGCCTAGGACAAGCAACGCAATCGCATAAGACAGTAACGGCGGCTAACACAGAAGGATCGTCGAGCACGTGCTTTTTAGTTCGAGTCCGTTGGCTTAATGCCCCCGCTTTTCGCTCCCGAGAGGAAACGTTTTGCGTCCGACTACGACGTTCTCGTACCCGTATCCCGCGGTATTTACATTACCGCCGTTATAACAAAGGAAACATGTTGCGAAACGAACAGAAAAAGAGCACATTCGAAAGAAGACTGAGCTTGGCCCGTTGCTCGAGTAAATGTCTAATAAAAAGTGTTATTCGAATGAAATTCTATCCGTTATTCCTTATTCGATTAATAAACAATTCATATGTATTTAATAGGTAATTTTCTAAAATAATAATTAATTTATGTATAATTTAGTTAGCACGACCATTATTGGTTTTGTTTCGACCATTATATTCTACTCTAATGCTAACCGTCCGTAAATTATTCAATTAGCTCGGGAACACAGAAAATTTACGGAAAATTGGATAATTAATAAATTGTCCATGTTATATGTATGAGGATTATTAGTTAATTAATTTGTTAATTATGAATACATATGTTCTTGCTAATTAGATTTCTAACACAGGAATACAATTAATTGAATAACCTTTCACTCGAATAATATCATGTATGAAATCATTATTTATCATTTTCTATCAAAACGTACTGTTCGGATCAATTTCACCCATTCTCCGAAGATAACAAAGCGGCAAAAAATCGGCGAGCAGAGAGCAACAATCGTCAAAGAACACAGCCGCGCGGAGTGCAAAGCGAAATATAGGAAACATCGACGACAAACGCAGCAATCCATAAAACTACGCTTATTGGTCAGAAGTACACGGCCAACGAATCCGCTCGGATTCCCTTCAGCTAACTCAAGAATCGCAAAAAAAAAAAACCAAACGACACTCGAACTCGTGTGTCGATTTCGAAAACTGTACACGGATGATCTATCAGGGCAAGTTTCTCGTGCCCATTAGCGACCACGCATTATGACAGCCTAAAATATGTCCGGAGTTACAGGAAGCATCCAGCAGGGCAAAAGAATAAATTACCGATTTGTCATCTGTGCACGGTCGGAAAAAGCTTTTCGTTCACGGACCTCGCGGAACCGCTGGCTGGGCGAAACGACGAAAGAGATTAATGTTACAAGATTCCTAGAAGGTTGTATCCTGCGCGCGCGCGCGTTTCCTCTCAGCAATGGCGAACTACCACGCGCTGTCGCGTATCTAACGTACACGATACGTATACCCCCGTGGATTAACGGCGTGGACACGGAGAAACGCGTATAAAAGGCGGTAGAAAACGAAGAAAACGGCCAGAGAAAACGGAAGATTGCAGCGAGATATCGGGGCAAGCGGGGGTGGCTGGAAGAACGCGAAGAATCCGAAACTCGCTCGAAGAAAAAAAAAAAAGAAGAAAGTCAGGGAGAGGGGGTCGGTGTATGACATGAACCGAAAACGCTCGATGCACAATCTAAAACCCCCATTCAGCTTTTAAACTCTTGACAATGGCGGCCGGTTACAAAGTTTCCTGCCGTTGGCCCCGGGTTCGTCGATGGGAAGGGAATGGGGTAGCTCGAGCGCGATTCAAAAGTTTGATTTATTTGAGAGGAGATTGCGGACGGCAGGGGGGAGGGTCGGGATGGGGCGGATCAGGACCAGAATCCGCGCTCAACGGGGGAAAAAACTGAATAAAAAAAAAACATAAAAGGGTTGCCCGAGAAGTCGGTGTATTTCGCTGCCGGCGCACCGTCGCCGCCTCTACACGCGTGACACTTTCCAGAATTCCATGCCAACCGTTTTCTTCACCATCACCACCACCCCCCTCCCCCCACCTGCCTGGGATTGCTTCCATCCAACGACGCTCCTTAACCCCCGCCTCTCGCGAGTTAGGAAGAGAGTCCTTTTCACGATACGTCGTGAAAGCATGCGGCGGAGAAAAGTCCGACCATTTTTCGAGAAATTAGCGCGGATTCTTGGGAAAGAATTCTAGACAGGGGGATGGCTGCACGATCTCTTTTACTTATTTAGGAGAATTACGTTCGTAAATTTCTTCAGTGAAGTCTAGGCATTACTGGCGAGATTTTGTGGCGTTGGTTCTGCTGAGATATTGTTTGTCTTCTCTCGAAATCTAAGATAAATTGGAATACATGTAACTCGGGAAGCCAGTGCACGGAGGGTCATTACAACTCGGAAACCGAAACCTCAAATACAAATTTCGTCATTCTTGATTTTCGTTTTACTTTTATATGTAAAATCGACCCTGTATCCCACATTTTTATTAACACCATGTATTTTCGTATCAATTAATATTTTCCAAAGAACCTCATTCTATTCTTTCGTAGAGTTGAAAACATGGATTTTCCCAAAAGCTGGTACGTGATGTAAACTCTCTGAACACACAGTGCTGCCAAGAGACCGTGGGCGTCTATCGATCCATCAGGAAACGAATATTGAAACACAATTGCGTCCGCCCTTCGCCATTTCAATTCCTCGCACGACATCGCGGTGACAGTTCGGTAAATCGCGGAAACAATGTCACGATCCACCGACCAAGAAATAACTTCGCGACGTGGTAACCGTATCCGTCAACGGCTAACCTTTTGGGACAAGTTTTCCCGCGGAACAACCGCGGCAACGGTTCGCGCGCATTTACGATTCGATGTACGAAAGAGCGGAATTAGGGTTGCAATTTGCCATTAGGGCGTAATGCAAAGCTTGTTTCGGTTAAAGCACGGTAATCGAATCACGAAAGAGGATTGAATTACACCGAGTTCCACGGTCCCATTGCTGCGCCGTAATACCGGATCTGGCTGGTGTATATCGTAACGTCTCGATGTAGCAATCACGAAGGTCTGCCGTAAGAAGCCGTACCGAGCTATCGTCGTGTACGCCCGTATACATTGCTTTCGTTTCTATCTTGCGTGACTCGATAATGAAAAGCTATCAAGAATCGGAAATCGTGCGTCGTTCCCCACGGGTGGGAGAAGAGGTATGTACATGGTGCGTCACGGAATTGGGAATGAATTGGTGAAAGATAGAGAAAAATTATAGAGGAAAAATTTGAACGGTATGGTAATGTTTATTTTTCTGCGACTTTGACTTCTTCATGAGTGCAACGATACACGTGAGAAATGTAAATGCAGTGGATTTTTAAATGGAATTGCATGTATCTTTTCAGACGTAGCAATTCTTCGGAACATTCTGTGTGAAAAAGTATCAGGGTACGATATTCAAAAAATTAATATTTTGCGAGATATCTCAGATTTTTCGTAAGTCGTACGTTTCATGGAAGATACTCTACGTATTCATTGTAAACACTTGCATACGTGAGATATGTCAGCGATCAATAAAATTCGAGTTGTGAGTTATCTCTTGTAATATTGGTTTCTTAAACATTGTACCGTAATACTTTTTCACGCAAAATGTCCCAAGGAATTGCTGGGAGTGAAGAAATATACAATTCCATTTAAAAATCCAATACATTTGTATTTTTTGACTGCATCGTTGCACTTACGAAGAAAGTGAAGTCCATAGAAAAATAGATATTACCATACCATTCAATTTGTCCTTAAGGTACAGTGTTCTCAGCAAGTTTGAGATATAACCCGTCCCAATTGTGTGACGCATCTTCTATACCTATATCTGCCGTGCATTCTTATGTGTACACATAAAACCTGCGGGATCCAAGAGGATGTGTGTCTGTGTGTGTGTTTGTGTGGGCGAGGCTTATTTCTTATTCGATAAAATGCAAGAGACAAATTAAGAAAAGCGGTAGAGAATCGAAAGCCCAAAAGAAAGTAGACGTTGTTTTTTTATTTTAGACGTACCAGAAAGAGCTTGCGTGAGCAAGGGCGTGTTGTTGTTGGGGGTGAGCTGTCCGTTGGTAAGATCCACTGAAACATAAAACTCTGATCACAACTGCTCCGCGCTTGATTGTGCGCGTGTAGACGTATCGCGTTATAAATTGTACGTTTTTTTTTTCTGTTACACTACTACGTTTCGTCTCCTTTATTCACCGCCACAGGATCGGGTGGGGTCGGTGATTTCGTCGCTAATTGAGAAAAAGGAGCGAATACACAAATTGTGACGTCGGACCACCGATGGGCCGAAAGGACAGAGAAAGAGTCACAAGACGTGATTTCTCCATGTGTGTTGCTTCGTCGCCGCGATCCCTACACAAGAAATGTATTTTCTTCTGCGCAGCGCGACTCTTTTTTACACGTTCTTCGGGATTCACGAATCTTTCGTTCTTCCATTTCGTTCATTTTCTTTTTTTCTTTCTTTTCCATTCGCTCTGTACCCTTTTGTTCCCCCGTATGTTCGCTCTGGGCTCGGGGGACGACAGTACGCTCACGACGTTTGCGTACGTCGCGCCTGGAAAAAGGGAACAATCGGGAAAAGCGTTACCTCGGACGCGCTTCACTTAGAGAATCCAACCGCGTTTCGACCAGGCGTCGCGGAATATTTACACGACGATTCCTCCGAGTCGTCGGTGAATTAGAGATCAAATATATGTATATCCACCGTTCGCGCTAACGTGACGAGTGCTCGTAAAATATTTGTCTTGTTATAATCGAACTCCATGACCATCGACTAGTACAATGGATTACGATTAAGGTCCACGAGTAATGCTTGATCCGCTGATTTCGTCGCTATTAGGCGATTGCGCGGTGGACAATATTCGAATGTTTTCGTAATCCCATGTCAGAGGTCGAAATGTATGAATCCCGATAAATAATTGCGGAACAGGTAAACGAAATATTCGCGTACACGAAATGATTGAATTAATAGTACAGACTCCTCTCGATCATTGTCTGGTTTGTTCTACACGATTATTGTCCAAGCGTTATCCCCACCACTGGGGGGGGGGAGGGGGCGTGGAACCTGTCAACCGTAGACTTTGTTGCCCCTCCACTTCTGTTGTCGAGACTCACACTTCGGGAAAAAACGAATTTACGAGGGTCTGAAACATTTCTCCCTATAAGATTATTGTCCTAGCGTGGACTCGTGTTCAGGACGATAATTGAGTGGAGTCTGTAACTGGTATTCCTAGAAAGGAACACATGAAACGAAAGAGATAAATAAAGAAAAAAGATATAGGGTGGGAGATAGAGAGGGACAGATTTGTGAGGAATATCAGAGAAACAGAAAGACAAATAGATTAAAGGGGGAGTAATGAAGGGCGTGTTGCGGATTTCCAGTCCAGAGTGAATGTCGACTTCATACATTTCTTCCGGATTGCAGTCCGTTGGACGTGTTGCATCGGTGTCTCCGTATACGCGTGGCTTGCATTGTCGCTTCCGGTTCCGTGGTAGTACACTGCCGGCACTCCTAACATTGATAAAGAACAAGAAGAGAACTGAGAATGTTGGAAAACAACCAAAAAAACAAAAAACGGGGAACGATCGGGACGGCGAGAAAATAAAGTGAAAAAAGTATTTAACGAAATTCGCTCGTGAAGCTATACAGGGCGTCTTGTAGTTATAAGTATAAACCTAACTGGCTGTCGATGATGCAGCCGTATAGGTTTTTACTTGTAACTAAAGTGTCGTGCTAACGAGATGTTTACAAGATTATTATTCAATAAATTTCTTGGAAATTAATGGTACGAAACACTGTATTGGATTACCATTCAGTTACAAGAATAATATTAGATAATAATTGTGCGAGCATCTTGAGCGTTACAAATGCGATGAGTTGTTCTTTCGATGATTCAGGAAACAGCAGGCTATACGAATTTCTTGATCGTGGAAATCTAAATTGATAACATTAATGTAACACAGATGACAACAGTGATCTTTTGATTTCGTTATAATCTATATGATCGTCGCACGAAATGAAAGTTAATCGGCCAAAAGTATGAAAACTGGTACAAGTAACCAAAGACATAATATTTAGAGGGTTGTGGTGCTTTCATACTTATGACAGATGCTCCGTGAAACAAGCACCCTTTATTTGCCGCAATAAATAAACACTTAAACATACAAATACGAAATTATGCGTGTTCAAGACATAAAAGCAATGGTCAAAAGTCAGAGGAATAATAACACCAATTGTCAGGAACGAAAATTCTAGATACCCAGAAAGAAAAATTTATAACTAATTTAGCCCGATTTTATGCGGCAACATTAATCTTCAGATATTAATTATTTTTAGTTATGTCGGATAATAGAGAATTTATATTCATAAAGAATAGCTTTTTCGGCAGCTCCGTGGCAAACGAAGATCATGAATCTTTTAAACCGTTTGAAAAAATGCTGCAGCGTGTACGCCGATGAATGCTGACGAACTCGACGTTTCGCAATATTTTTTCCCGTGTCTCGGCTCCCAGTGAAATAAACAGGTATCCGTGGTGTGCATTACCGCGAGCGGAGCAGTTAAAACATTGGAATCAAAGAAAAAAGATATCACACAAGGGATCCCCCCCCCCCCCCCGGGGACATCGTCGCGGAAAGTGCGAACCGTGGAAACAGAGGGGAATGGACAGGACATCGGGTAAAAGCGAGGAATGAAAACCAGGGGACATGCGCCGCCGGTGAATTATAGCAGTTGTTAGAGCAACGAGAACGTGGGATTGTTTTTGATATTTGCTAGAACTCGAGGATCAATGGGGCGAACTCGTTATCGATATTTTACGGGAATAGAAAAAAATGAATGTCCCTGACGTGGAGTCGAAGAATTTAGCTATATAGCATGTGCAAAAGTTACCATTGGAGGTTGAAGTATGGATCAGAACGTGGATTTGAAAATTGATTAAGTTTGGGTCGAAATTGCATCGATCAATTAATACTTGATTTATAGTTGTAATGGACTAAACGGATGTAGAAAACTATATTTGTACACTTTTATCATTTGTAACATGGAATGCAGCGATATTATAGAGAAAAAGTGGTTCTGTGGGATCAGCTACGTTTGCAGGTAATATAATAACTGGATTGTGAATTTTATGCACTTATGGCGTACTGAATCGTCTGAAATTCAATATTATTGCGAAGTTCACTAAACTTTAGTATGGTTTTCATTTTACGTGGAATCTCATAGAATTCTCAGTATAGTAAAGAACTTCTTGTTTGTGTTCAGTTTCTGGAAATAAATGTCTAAAGATCGATGTTCGCAGTCTAATAATAATACAGTAGCTCGAGTGACTCGTGTTCTATCATTAATTTAAAGTTACGGAAGACCAATGTGCTATACACAGCTTCAATTAAATGCATCGTTAGTGAAACAGAGAATTGTACTTTGTCCCATCAAAACGGACTGGGGAATATTGTCTCTACCTTTATGGGTACGGACCTGCGAATTCTTCGACTCCTTTTTCAAAACCATCTCAAAGAAATAAGTTTCAGGAATGTTGGATATACGTAAGAATCGACGAAAATGTTGAAAATTTTTACGAAACATAAAATATTACGCTAAGTTAGTGGCTGTGAATTACAGAATTCGTTCTACATAGTTAACGATCTACATGCACGCTAAACAAAACATTGAATCCGAAAGGAAAGCATGAAGCCAAGGAACTGTGTGGGAATCGAAGGAAAAGTTTGAAATTTGTGAACGAACTAAAAATACTGAATACATGATGATTCTCCATCGATTCAACGTATAAATTAATGAACGATGAAAAATATCGTGATGCTTTGGCAGCTATTAAATCTCCATAATACCTTACCGTGTAATACGATTGCGTCGCTGTGAGGGAAATCACTGATTCAACAGATCGTACCTTGCACGTTCGGCGTGAATGCCCGAGAAAAGAATCACAGCTCGGACAGCGTGGAAACACGGAGTATTTCCAGAGTCGAATCTCGTTGCAGGAATTGTAACCGGTGGGACTGATAACAGGATATCATTGCGAGAGGGGTGAACAGACCATAAATCGCGGATCGACGTGATTTGTATGGGGGTATCACGCCGCTTAATGGTGTGGCTTGTCTCTATCGGATTCGGTCGGGCTTGAGCCGGATGTTTCGAGCCAGTGCAGCTACAGACAGTACAGACTGTTTTTTTTTTGTCTCCCCCGTGTGCCTGGCTACGAATAGAAATAGGGTGGTTGAAAATACGCAACTCGGTTATACGCGGAACGCGTACGCTGTTGGCTCACGGGGTCTTTCAAGGAAACTTCGAGTTGTACGGAACAATAACAGGTCACCGGAGGACTTTTTGCCGAAACTTTTGTCTGTGATAAATGGTAGCCCGTGCTGACCAGTTGCGATATACGAAAATTTGATACTCGATCGGATTGGCTGATAGCGAGCGAAAACTTTTGAGAGCAGGGAATAGGGGATGCAAGTTCGCGACTTATCCCTTGGTGAATCGAAAATTTTATGAGAATTCGGTGCTTCCTATGCAAGGCGTGGTGTGTCTCGAGTTCAAAGATTTTTGTCTTTTATTGAAGTTGGAGGACATTGGGATTCCGAAAATCTCGTATTTTCTTCTGGGATTTGCTCTGTTATTCTGGCGAATAATTGCAACAAGGGTCTGGAATGAAATACTTTTTGCTACTGTCGGGTTCTCGAATTCATTCCCGGAAACGAAGATTTGGAACTTGTAGCCGGTATATCGAGCTTAAAACAAACATTTGGACAATGGCACCTCATTTTCCGGTGGAACTTCGAGGCCAACGACGTAACAGGGACGTGGACATAAAGAACGAAATCGGAGTGCTTGTCAGACGGAGTGACGAATGAACCGGAAAACTTTGCCCGCAGACGTTTATCGGAACAAGGGAACCACGTGTGTTGGAAATGGGTGGCTAGTCTCTGGGTTTCGTGAGTGTGGGCATCGATATACTACACTTTTATATTCTCTCGTATTCCCGTCCGAAAATTCGCGTTCGCGAGAAATAGGGATCTCAGTGATTCTTGTTGGAGGGTTGTTAACATATTCTGATGTATTTTTCATTGCATTTTATGTAAAAAGAAGTTGCAAAAAACTTGACTGCTAAGCAACTATCTATAAAAATAGGGACGACACTATATTCTTCCATTTATTGAAACAGATATAAATATAATGAATTAGGATTTATCTTTACGCTATTAATCTTTGCGAAAAACTGAAGTAAGTTTTGTATTTTACCTTTGATGCGATGAAATTAGGGTAGATGTCCCAATTACTGCTACCTGAAGATTGTAGCGTATTTTCATTTAATCATTTTACGTGTTGTTTAACCTTAAAATCGTCTCGGTTTAGAACATATTGGTGTTTAACATGTTTTTCATTAAAAAAACAGTTTTATACACCAAATCTGAAGAATTAATTTATAATTAATTAAAATCTGCAAGCAATCCCATTGTTCCTACAACTGTCACCTCAAGAATTAAAGTTATTTTTATATATTTTTTTATTCTTTTGTTTTCCCGTAAATCATAGTCCCAATATAATAATAAATTTTGTTTGTATACAAGTCGTTATACGTTACGCTCTTACTAAGTGAAATAAATAAAATGGTAATATTAGGGACACTGACAGGAATTGGGACATTTATCCTATTGGGAGAAACAAGTTCCATGATCAGTTTAAATTCTACCATTGGTTAAAGAAACGTGAATTTTTGATTTAAACCATATTAAAATCAAATTTCACAAATACCCTTATTTGAACAATACTTCTACCTTGTTACTCTATCGAAACTCGTAATCTCAAACAAGTTAATTCGATTCACTATGTCGACCTAAAAATACATTGTTTGAACTCAATCAGATCCATGCGCGGCAATGAGTTTACACACACGACCAGTTCTAGCCATCCATTTGATCAAGGAAAGTGCGAGCTATCTTTCTCCAACAAGAGTCACCGGCGATCAGTGTAATACGAACCCGACGTGGAGATTCTTAAAGGCGGGGTTCGATCGTTTTCATCGAAACGACGACGGGCGGAGGCATAAAGATCTAGGCCAAGAGTTCATCTATTTCGAGTGTATCTCCAGCTGACGTGGATACGATCGAGAATCCGGATAAAGGGGTTTGCCTCGGCGAAAATCCACTCGCGTGGTATGAAATATCGGCGTGGAAGAAGACTGTGACACCGTGACAGGCGAATGATTTCGACCCGGGTAGCAACCATTTTCCTAGCCAATGTCGCGTCGTATCTTGTAACAGGCACAATTAATTTTTCAAAAAAAAATTGGGAATGATCGAAAGAAATAAAAAATCATTTGTGACGCTGCGTACGATGTTGTCATGAAATTTACGTGATTCTCTGGAGAAATTAAGCGAAAACAAAGCCGACAGAGTGTTTCAAGTTGGTAAATGAATAGAGCCTTGCTAGTAAAAATATTAATAACAAGTGTCAGATGATCATGGAAAGATTAATCTTATTGGGTTGAATCTTCG